TTTTTTTTTTTTTTGTATTATTTGTTTCAAGGAGCTATATTAACATGAAAATAAAGCAGGTAATGTACTTATGATGTTTGTACCATTTATTTTTGAAATATTACTCGCTAAAAATTTCTAACATTACCAAGTACGATTGTTTCATCGGTTATAATTGCATTGTCCGGTTGAAATTTGATAATATTCCTGACTGTTCCATCTTCGTTCTTTTCACTTTTCGAAATTTAATGAATTTTGCTTGTAGGAAAAAGCTAAAAATCAAATGAAGTTATTATTAGCTCGGGCTGAAAGCATACAGCGACAGAGATATGCTAGAAAGCGTTTAGTATTTCAAACACCAGATGGAAAAAAAGAAATGGAATTAGCGGAGACAGAGCTCAAAACGGAATATGAGAATATTATGAAGTCAGTCACGCAGCTGAATGTTGATTGTAAGATAAATTTCTATCGATTAATTCGCAAGATCAATAAGTCGTGAATTTTTACTTCGAAAGCTACTTTTCAAAATTTTTTGAAAGTTTCCATTCATTAATCTTAAAGCTTATTTTTGCAGTGGAAAAGGCGAAAACAGATTTTCACTTTATATATGATGATGTGCACGAGATGAAAAGTAGGTTTTTATTTTGTCATGAAATGAATGATTATATGCATGAAAAGTAGATTATAAAGAAAGGTTTGAAATTGACTGATTTTAAGACATATGATTTATTTACAAACAAGAGTTTGACACGTGAAAGAAACTGATATTGCAATCAATTATTTGAAGGAAGTATGATATTAGACCAGCTTTTGATCACTCGTATTTGTTAGCGCAAAAAAAAAAAATGAAGTATTACAGCGCGTTATCTCACCGAAGCAGATGAAGACCGCGGAAATATTTATTGGTATTTCAAAGACATGTATTGGGATCGTAAATTTTTTCCAGTTTCTATCGCATATTCTCGAGCAAGAAATAATTATTACTTGATGATATGTTATTACTTGCCATGAAAAACTTTATTTTAATTAAAAAGGCTTTACTAGCACATGTTGCTGTTATTTGTTATTTATTATTACTCGTTAGAATATTTTGTAGCATGAGAAAACAATTATCATTTAAGGCTTTGAAGAAACTGAATTCAACTTATTTACCTCCAAGTTTATCATTATGAAATCTAATAATCTGTCAATTTTTAGTTGTCATCGTTTTTTCAAAAGATAGATGCAGAATTTGATTTAAAAAAGAAATCGCTCCCAATTTTTTTGCGCAATATCGATGAAGGAGTAATAAAAGATACACATTTGACTGTTATGATCGGTTCTTTGCGACAAGCTTTCCATGAGAATATATTTCCTGATATCGTGGATCGCATTGATGACTTAAAAAATTCGGCTTTAAAAACTATGTGGATTAACTTTGAAAAAAGACTTGAATTACTACAACTTTTCGAATACAAAATTTTTAAATTATTGAATCAGAAGGTAAAGTTCGCGGCTGATGATTTAATGTCACATGTTGCGCGGCAGCTTATTTTGATTCGAACAATGGTAAGCTGTAGTGTTTAAAAAAATATGAAATTACTAATTTATCATTGTTATAATTCGTTTTTAAATGACTTGGCATAGATTTTTTTAATTTACAGCTAGTAGACGATGAAAGTATTGGTATTCGTCCTGAAATCAGTTACGTTGCAGTCGAAAACTTGTTTCTCAAATTCGCGGTTTTTATTTTTAATTTCCTTCATTGTTAATTAGTATTCAAAGATTAAACGCATAAAATCTAGTGGAAATTTATGCCAAACAGCTATATTTGCAGTTCTTAGAGGAATTTTTTATTGATAGCATAAAATGAATATTACTTTTTTAGCTTTTGTAGAAAATTTTCTCTAGTATGGTTTGAGAATTTTATCTAAGCTTTCACTTCATGGCTTTTATAGAATGGAATAAAGTTCCTTAATTTCGTAATTTATGTGATTTTAGCAAAGCTATAATCGTGCAGTATCACGTTATAATAGGAACGCTTTAAGATACTTTTCAAAGCAAGACGAACCTTTTAGATTTCTCGAAAGTTCCGTTGAGTATACCTTAGAAAATGAAGGTAGGATTTTCATGCTAACATGAAATTTATTTGCAGTTATTTTGATTTAGTTCTCTGCAATGTTAAGCTGGTAAATTACTTATATTTACTATTTCTTGTACAGTTCTGTTGTTTCAAGTAATCTTGTTTAGATTTTAATCCCAAAATCCATCATCTTTTCTACAAAGAAGCTTTTGACTCCAAAATTTGGCTTGAAAAAGAAGCGATGATGATAGAAGGTCAGTCTAAATTATTTAAATACATACGATTTTAAAGTATACTGCATGCTACCGTAAAAATTGATTGTATTTTTAAAAACTTTTCAAGTTTCTTCTATGAAATTTACTAATAATTTCTCTACATGAATAATCAATGTCTTTGTATATTAGAGGTCAATATCGATGACAAGAACGCAAACAGTCAAAATAAGAAAGAGCAGGCAGCTAGATTACGAATGCTTGAACGAGCTAGGAGAAAAAACTTGAGGAACAAATTTGAAGTGAGTAAATAGAATCTTTGGGTCATATATTTCTTGTTTTAAATGGCTGTAATCTTAAGCTAAGTTGTTTGAGTAACAAGGAAAAGTCTTAAAGACCGATATTGCATAAAAATGAATGTAATCTAAAGTTTCATGAATCAGAATTACTGATTGGGTGTTGTACTGTATCGAAACAAAAAAATTAGTAATGAATTTTTTTTGAAGCATTATATACGAACGACAGAATGGACTAGGAAGGATCAGAAACAAGAAAAAATACTTGACGATGATCTTAATGGATTAAGAGAGCAATTATTAATTTTCAAAAACACACTAGAAGAAAAAATTCGTGAAACAGGTTTAGTTGACGGTTTGTTGTGGATATATTTTTTCGATAGAGAAAATTGCCGATTTCTTAAATATTGTCAAAAGCATTAGAAATGTATGGATCTTTAAGTTTGTATATTATTATTTATGAGAAAAATTATTTAATGATCATCAATTAAACTCATACTTGCTGCATCTGCATAATCTTCGAGGTTCAGCGAAGAGATATGATGTTTCCGTAATGATAAGTAAAAAATGATAAAATTTCAGGTGTAGATGTGAAAGTGCAGCTAGTCTCTCGGTTAAGTAGCACTAGCACTAATGATGCTAGTGATGTAGAGGGATTGAACAGTGAGCGTGTAGCAGGCGTGTTAAAAGCATTTTTTCTTGAGCAAGATGGTGTTACAGAGGAAGAAAATCGTTATGATCGTTTAGCACGAGGATACACATATGGAGCGGATGATAAAGCAAAGGAAAATGTACGGAAAAATGGAGATGAAGATGAAAGGGATTTGAAGTCTGTCATTTTACTTGTTTTGAAAAAGATGTTGTCGTGAAACACTAAAATTATGCTGTTCATCCAATTAAATCTACTCATTAGTGACAGACTTTAAATCATTGCATACAACAGTATTGAACATAGTGGGCATTTCAAAAGGATTTTTTGGCTCACTGTGACTTCTGTTGACATGGCTTTATGCTTCTTGTGAATTGCATTTACTCTTTCCTGATTACGCTCATGTAAATATGAACTGTTTTTAGTCGATTCTAAAATTACTAGCTTGATTTGCTCAGGTTAAGCTGCGTATGTGAGTTGTCTTGTAGTCGATTAATATACCATGATCACGAGTATGCACAGCCATGTGTAAACTGTCTTTAACAAAGACTTTTTCTCTCCCTCTCTCTGGGCAATATTATTCTTGATAGTTCTAAGTGTTTTTGTTTTGTTTTTTCATCTTGGTCATTTGTTTTGATTATTATTCTGTCATCAGTAGATGGTACACTTTTTTACTAATGTGAGATTAGCTTATGATAATCTGAAGAATGTTTGTGAACCAAATTCATTTTAGACGCATTGCTGTCACATAAGTTCATTTGTGTTAATTGTCACCAAAGAGGAAGGTGAGAGAAAAAGCAGTGCAATCTTTACATTCCATGAATATATCTGTTATTTTCATGTATGTATTGTTGAAGTTGAGTTGGGAATAAAGTACATTTATGAGTCTAACAGTTCTCATGTATTCGCAGAGTGTTTTTGTAAATGAAAAGTTCACAAGTTGTGCTAGAATCTGCAGTTTGTCTCAGTCTCTCAAGTACAATTGAAGTAATGAAGAGGAAGCGTGATTTATGTATTTGGTAGTGTGGAGAATTACTTGCCTGACAATTTTTTCAATCTCTTCTGACAATATTTTAGCGTTTTCCCATAATCTGGTACTCTTTAGGATATATAGAGTCATGTTTATGTTTGTGTGTGTATGTGTTTATCTTGCAGAGATTGAATAAGACTGGCAGTAACTGAATTTGTTTGCGAATGGAACAGTTGTTTGAAATGACTGTACAGTTTGTACTTCTTTTACATTATTCTGATTTCAAGTATTTACTTTGAGATGTGATTCAGTCATTTGGATTCTATTTATATTTGCATTGAGTATTTGTTGTTTTCATTGCAACTTTCTTTGATTGTCATAATTTTTCTACTCACGTGGTTTTTTTCCAGTTGGGGTTCAAAGTGATTACCAACTCTTTACTTATATTATTGTGTATAAGCATATTTATGTCCTTATTGATTGTAACGTGTTTATTGGTTGTTTACGTCATTGAATGTAGTAGATTTTGGTGCGTGGTAATTGTCGTCATTATCGATTAGACATCATAAACTTTTTTAGTTTAGTCTCATACATGTGCTGTAACATCCATACGTGCAATTTCGTATTATTTATGATCTGTTGAATTATTTTCTAGTCAATGCTGTTTTAATCTTTTGAATCACTACTAGTAAGTAATGAAGTTATGGAATGTATATCAAAAAGTAAAACGCTTGGTTATTATTATGCAAATTGTCCTGAAATTAAGCTTTTTGTAGAGTTATGACTGCTCCATCAGCACCAGAATATTTAGATAGTGTTTTGGTGGAACCAGTTGCACCAACCAGATCAACACGTGATGATTTACCACCAACGTATGAAGATTCAACAAATCCAAACAGTGAGTTAGAAATCAATTGAGCCCTTTGTAACAGTAATCTCTGTCATGATTTATTGAAATTAGACTTTTGTTAGTATGCTTTCATCCTTTTTTTATGTGATTTGATTTCTTTATTTAAAGTAATAATTGAAGGCATTGCAGTAGTTCACATTTTGGTTTTTTTCATTTGCAGGCATGCCGCCAACGTATGATTCATTGTATGGTGAATTTCAACAAGTCGAAGATCCCCGGGGACTTGCTGAATTTCTAGCCAAGACTTTTGCTGTCATTATTAGCACAAGTAAAACTACTTTTTTTCCTTCTCTGATCATATTGAAGTTGATATAATTCAGTTCTTTTAAGCTTATATAGTCCTGAAAAAAGTTTCAGATTCTTTTATTCACTCAAGTTGCTCATTAAAATCAGTTTATTTCTCATTTAGAAGCTCTTTCCCTTCTCTTTATTTGTGTCTAGAAGTACTAAGTTAATGTGAATGACTGAATCACAGTTAATTCTTATTCATAATTTTTTCTCTCTGAATGTATCTAATAATAATCATGATACTTTTCGTTTGTTTGAAAATTAACTTAATTTCAGTGACTGCCGCTATAATTTTGGGATTACTCAATATCATTCCGCTTGCAATGATAATTTTTGGAAGTAACAACCTTAATAAATGTCCTGTTGAACCATACATACCCATTTGGCTAATTGTAACTGGTTTATTGTCTCTATTCAAAAGCGGAACAAATTTCTATTATCGTGCTAAACGACAGCGAGAAGGTCGCGCACCATCCGCAGCAGATGTGAATCCAAATCCATTTGATGGTCTTTTATCGTGCTTCTTACTTATATGGTTTATTATCGGTATCTTTTCTATAATAATTATAGATACTAGCCTCGTTCTATCATTCATCTGATTTATTTGTCGACTAGTTATTATCTTAAATATAACTGAAGTGAACTTTCTCACCGTAATATTGTTTGGGCATTTTTAAATAGAAATTTTTATAGAAGAACCACTCTGTAAAAAATATAAATTTGATGGTAGTTATAAATTCATAAAATTTTGTTAGTGGAGTATAGTTTTTTTCTTTCCTAATTCATTCACCTACATAATCAGTTTAGAACACCATGAAATTCCTTCTTAAATTTTTGGTTCAAAAAATAATTATAAGTTAAAAAGGATAAAACAAAAAAGATATAATAAATTGAAGTAAAGATATTATTTAATGTGTTGTTCCTTAGTATTAACTACTGCTGCGTTTTGATTAGTGTTAGACAGATCATGTGTTAACTTGTTTTAGGATTTATAAATATGATTTTAATTTAATAATTCTCTTTTTTTGCAAAACATTTTTTTTATTTAGGCTCAGTATGGATTTATTCAGCTGTCGATTTGGTACAATATAAAAATCCGGAAAACAGTAATTATTGCGACCGGTTTACTTTTATTTTTTCGTTTGTATTCGTAACGCTTGGTTATTTGCTACTTTCTATTACGATGTGCTGCTTTTGTTGTTGTTGTTGTTGCATTTGTTGTCGACCTAAAAGAAATGAAGCCCTTAGCACAGTGTGATTACATATCTTTGACACTGCTCAGTTTAAGAATGCATTTTTATTATCTCATTATTTGTTTCACTTTCCAAAATGTTCAATCGACTATCATTCTTTGATTTTTAAGCAATTTTTATTCCCGTGGTGTTAATGTTTCATTCATATTACGAGTTAAATATTACTCTTATTTAGTATATACTTATCTCGAATTTTTATTTACGTAATGGAAAATGTCTAACTTAGTTTCAGTTTTATTCAGTAATCATCCAGTCTCAATTATTCCGAGACAGTTATAAATGTAGAGCTCAGTACAAGTATAAGCAAAGAATACTACTTTTCTATATCTTTATTTCGGTCTTGCGAGGTAACTGAGGTTTTTTTAATCTCTTATAAAGTTAATTAGCTTTCAATTGAATCATTATCATGATGTAATACTATTCGTAGAGCGCAATCCAATATTTGCTTATATAAATTGATTTTAGAAGCTGGTTTACGAACTGGTCAAACAGATTATATTAGTGACTTAATGTACTTTAATCTCATGAATTTCTTATTGTTTCTCAAGGGTGACTGATCCAAGTAATGTTTGTGTGAAGTTACTTGATATTGTATTTATAATACGTTCTGTGTTATGGGTTTGTGATATGTTTCGAATTTGATACTGTATGACTTGCACTTAATATTTGAAGCAACATATTTTGGCTGTTTAGCTCATCCTTTAATACGCTCTTTGATTATTTTATGCCGTTTTATCGCGGGTCAATTACATATACATATGAATCTTGAGGTATAAACATTTAGTACTTATGTTCTTGTCATCCAGAATGTGATCATTTTTGATCTAAATAAAGTAAAGTTTAGTAGTCATATTAATACAAAGGTTTATTGATTAAAGTACTCAGCTGTATTCTGTACTTCGAAGTTGGCAATTCTTATAAAGCAATATTATTAGTTGCTATTGCTTCAGTGTGTTTCACGTGGAATTATTGATGAGAGTTGGGTGATAGTTCAAAACTTGCTGCTAAATGTTATTATTCTTTGGTAAAATGGTTGAAAAACAGCCAGGGAGTTGAAATTAGTCAGATATCAGCAAATGTTCATTTTTGATATGAATACACGACCGAGATAAAGGTTCGGCACGGGAATAAGCATTTCTAGTTGTGATGATAGCAATGTTGCAAGTTGTTTTGACGTGTTTGCAGTGTTATGGTTTTGTTGCATTCGTGTATATTAATATTGATCAAAGAGGAGGATAACTTTTTAAGCAGTCAGTAATGTTCGTAATAGGCGCTCGTGGGTGCGCAACATTTTTTACATCAATTACATCTGGTTTACGTCAGTGTCGTCTACAGAAGATTGTACTTTGTAATCACACAAAATATATTCGCTTGATGTTAGTATTTTCTGTAATATGTTCAACTTGAATAGATGTCATAGTGGACAATGTTCGTAGGCAGTTAGTAAGCTCATTGATGATTTTAATAGCGTCAGTTGTTTCATTTATGGTCACAGTTCAGCATTTTCGTTGTTTCTAAGTAACAAGAGAATAGCAGCAACTTCATTAATCCCTTTAATATGGCTCGAAGGAACGTTCATTTGAAGCAGTACTGAATAAGATCATAGAATTGATCTGTAGCTCTTTTTCAAATTTGTGCATGCATGTTCACTAGGTCCAAGTTTGCACATGAATGTTGATCGAAATATGTTTTGTACTTCAGTTTTTGTTATGCATTTGGTATGGAAATCTGTGTGGAATGACATGGGTTATAGATAATTGGTATTATTTGCTATAACTTTTCCTCAGGAAATCATTATATTCGTTTGACTTTTGACTCTAATTAATTGTTAGCAATTAATCTTTTAATCTTATCAAGCTCAGAAAGACCTGTATCCTCACGTTTATATGAGAAAGATTGTAAAGAAAATTAGCTATTTGACGTAAAATTTTGGTAATGTTGTTGTATATTGAACTGTGTAAATATTTTATAACAGAGTAACACTGCTAGCATTTGGTAGAAAAGTGGTCGATTAATAATGTAGCTTAAAATTAGAGAAAATGAATTAGTAATAAGTAATTGTTTAGTTATTATTTGCATGCATCAGTAATATTTATCATTAATTATGTTTGAAAAGCAATGTAATTCAGTAAATTAAGATTCATATTAAAACTTGAAAATAATCATAACAGATTATAAACTGCGAGTTAAGTAGGCATAGATTCTTCTAGTAATTGCCCTCTTGTTTTTGAATATAGAATTTCTGGAGCAAGTGCTATCGGGATGTGATAAGTTGAGCTGGAATTGGTGGATTTCTTCATTCTGTTTAATTAGAAGGACGAGACAAGTAAGTCAAGTGGATGAGATGTAACTGATAGAAAGACAGATTGGAGTTAGCAATTTGAAACTATTAAAGTTTCAGAAATAAACTTGAATGGTAAATAAATTGGTAGGATGAACAAAGAATATTTTGGTAATCACGGAAGGATGATTAGAAAGAGTGTTAACGGATTGAAAGTGTATCTTAGTTGCATTTGTTGTATCCTCCGAATCCATTTGATAGATTTCTTTTTATTATCTTTGTAGTCTATTTAAGAATAAAGAAATGATATATTTTTGCTCTGTAATATGCTCGTTATCAGATCACTGACAATGATAATCTTATTCTGCTGACATTTTTTGTTGAATTATTATTAATAATAGGAAAGAATGCGTTGTTTTCACGTAGATTTAGGTGAAATTTCTTCATATAGTGCAAACGGTTTTCCATTTTTTCTTACTATAGAATTACACTCTGACATTCAACAGTAATAAGTAAAATTAGATAAGATGTTTTTCCATTTCATCCAATCTAATTATTGATGTTCAGGTAACTGCGATTTCTAGACTTGGTTTTTATTATATATGGTAAAAAGATAATATACAGTAATGCATTATTTGTTAGTAACAATTCTCGCAATATTGTATGCGTACGGAAACACATCAGCGAAAGTGTGAGTTTTCTGCTTTCCTGTATTTGACTGATTGTTTCTGCACGTTAATTTTTAATTTATTTTTTGGAGTACTTCATTATTTACTTATCGGTTCACTTGCACAGAAATTTGATTTCTAAAATAAAGCTGAGCTAATGTTGTCATTCATTACTTTTTATTTGCACTAATCTTAGAATAATAACATTGATTGTAAAGTAGTCCAACAATGGAAATATCAGTTTTTGGAGTCCTGCAGTCACGTCAAAACCATAGTATATTAAAATTGACTACAAGTTCATAACAGTAGTTTAATAATAATCGCTCGATAAAGCAGAAATGGGATTGGTTGAAGTACTTTGGTGTAGATGTGTTTGTATAAAAGTGTGTTATTGTAATTAGTCTTATTTTACTTTGAAACAAAAAAATATGAGAGTACGTCGTTTACTTGAAATGATTTTGAACTTTGTGAATAATAAAGATAAAGCTCAAGACTGACTCTCATGAAATCAAGTAGGAGTCCTTTCAAAATTAGATTAGCAAAATATAGAATCTTTGTGAATTATATGATAGTACTAATTTGCAGAGGAAGTAGTACTGATATGTCGGTGCAGGAAGCATTCAAGAAACATGGAGTTGTCCCGGACGTTGTGTCAGTTGGTCCCACTAAACTTGCTGATGTTTCGTATGATGGCCACAAAGTAAGTTTCAAAGAAGATATGAGATTGGTTACTATTAATTTATGATTTATTAATAATAATGATATTATTATGCCATTACATTATGGAGTTGTGCTGTCTGTGCCAGTCATCTATTTCAGTAATCATCAGCGTTATCTTTCAAAGACATTTAATTTAAAACGAAGGGTTTAAGTTTGTATTGGAGCATATATCTTAATCCTCAAGTTTTATTTATTTTTAAACTTTTGATACATTACGTATCGAGCATTCACATTTGATTTTTTGATGTAGTGAGGAGCTAATAATGTGTTAAGATTCTTCTAAAGACTGTTTACTGTTTCTTGTTGTAAAGAAATATCATTTTGAAATCTTTTTAAAAAGTTAAAACTGCTTAGGTGAATTTGGGCAATGAACTGACACCAACACAAGTGAAAGATCAGCCAAAAGTTTCATGGGATGCAGAAGCCGGGAGTTTATATACTCTTGTCATGACAGGTAAGTTTATGCTGTTTCTGTTGGTAGTAGCGACTACGAGAAGACGTATGGAAAATTTCAGATCCTGATGCACCTTCGCGAAAAAGTCCGAAATTCAGAGAATGGCACCACTGGTAGGTCATTTTGTCGCAGTAATTTCTTAGAATCGATTTTGCGGTAAAGTTAGTGGTATGTAAAGTATCAAGCACACATGAAAAACTACTTTTTATATTGGTTTAATTGTTCATTCAGGCTCGTGACCAACATTCCTGGACATGATGTTAGCAAAGGTGATGTGTTGTCTGAATACGTTGGGTCTGGTCCACCACATGGTACAGGTATGTAATGACAATCTTAGTTTTTTTGACCTTTAATTTCTTTGCATAGAAACAGTTCTATTTACCGATTTAATGTGATTTTGTTTGCAGGGCTTCATCGTTATGTGTTCTTAGTTTATAAACAACCGAGTAAAATTGCGGATGCTGAACACGGGCATTTGACAAATAGATCGGGAGCTAATCGAGGAGGTTTCAAAACCATGAATTTTGTCAACAAACATAATTTAGGCAATCCAGTAGCTGGGAATTTTTATCAGGTAAGTGCGCTTGCTTGAAAGAAATTGTGAATAAAAAGTAATGGGTTAAAACGACTAAACAGTTGCTGATTTCAGGCTGAGTACGACGATTATGTACCGAAACTATATGAGCAACTCAGTGGTTGATTATGAGATTTCATGTTCATTGACTTTTATATCATATTGAAATTTTTTAATTCAGAGTTATTAGTTGTAGTTGAATAAATCATGTTTTGATGTTTAGTATTGCATTCAAACAGTTATCCGCTTAAGCTTCTTGGCGTACTTAACGAAAAATCTATACTACACTAATGTAATTTACTTATTTGACAAGTTTCCGAAAAGTGCTTCATTTTAAAACTGATGCAACTATAATCGCGAATTCTTGTATTCTTGATTTTAAGCGCATAATTTGTGCCAATGTTCAATGTTTATGCTTATTATTGAATCAATACTAGTACAGAAAGAATTTATACTACAACGTTAAAGAGGGATAGGCTATAATGTAAAGCAGTTGACGTTAGAAATATGTAATTCTGGATGTTCTGCCTTCTCTTACCTAGTCAAAACGTCACGCAAGGAGATTATAGCTCACTTGTCAGGAGCAGTTTCAAACGAATATCTAGCCAATCTTAACTTTGTTCACCATAACCGATATTGATCGGTGTTTGAAGTGTAGCACCGGTCAATATCTATACTGAAAGCTAAGGTTATCAAAGTCCTTGAACGTTGACTCTATAGTCATGTAAACTACCACTAAACTTTTTACATCTGTATTAGCGAATTCTCGCGTAAGAGTATGACTTCCCTACTAGCAATAACTTACTTTAGCAGTGCAAGTAGAATTCAGTTTATTCAAATATAAATATTTAAATGTAAATATAAATATTTAGCATGCAAATAAGTATTGAAAATTATGTATAATCTAACACGGGTTTTTATAAATGACATTACGCGGTACGTACGTTTCACTGTAGCAACTGTGTTTTATTTGGAATTTGAAGCTGCAATATGCAAAAAATGCAGTAATCACAATAATATTTTTTTTAAATTGTAAATTTGGTTTTCGTTGTTATATTCTATGTTTCTGCTTTAATCGACATAGTTGATTGTTCAAGCCATCTTCATATCAGGTCATTGTATATCAATCATGACGCTTAACCGGCTTCGCATGGTGGGTTTACAAGTATGTCGTTTAAGACTTGTTTACCCATCAGTTTCTTCTGCGATACTCCGGTCAAATAGTTGCAGTGCTACAACTTCAATTGATGATAAATTGACCGCAGTACATCCTGGATTACAAAAATTGGTTTGTATTTTTTTCATGATCAAGTACAAAAAGCCGTTTTGATAGGTCATTATTTTTTATTTTATATTCGTCAGAGTTTAGCGTTGTAATTAAATTGCATGTTGTTAAATACCTAAATGCAATGAAAGCTTGTTTAACTGGCATAAAGTATATATTGTATTATCGTATTTTGACTTTTAAAAACATGATTTTTCTTTGTTAGTTTTGCTAGCTTCAAATGGCATTGAAATTATTCCAGTATTGGTTATTCCATTTCGTCTTCCAGTTAATCTTATTTTCTTTTTGTCATACAAATAGTTTCAGTCTAAAATGAAAGCTGAAGATTTGCATCATATCAATCCTGGTCCTCCCAATACTTATGATGATGTGCCTATTCCTTTCAAAAAAGTTGAAGAAGCAAAGAAGGATTTCCAATCTACTTTTAATTTGTATTTTTATGGATCTATCGTGTTGTTTGCTATAACTTCTTATTGGGTTAGTTGGCTAGTTTTTATGTCAAGTTATTTCTATTTTTTTGGACCTCTTAACTTTCAGTTTCTATCACCTATTTTATAATCAGATGCTTAAATGCGAATACTTGAGTTTTGTTTCCCTAGACATGTCAGATATAATTTTTATTTCATGACTCTCATCAGTTTCAATTATTAAAGCAAATTTCTGTCTTCTTGGTGAATTTTTATATCTGAATTTGGTTTTTTCTGGAAATTTTCAATATATGTTAGCATTGATGTGCAGTGAGTTTTCAGTAGAGAGAAATAATATCATCAATATGGGTTTTGTCGATTGTACGACTTCAGGTATTTGTCGTTGAAGACTTTTGGCCGTACGATTCACGAATGCCAGTGAAATCATACCGGGAACGACATAAGAATAAGAAGCCTCCTCAGTTTTCAGGTGACGGTGGTTCGAATGAAGGTAGAAATATAGCTAGTGCAGCAGCAGCTGGAGGAGCGTTAGCTATTGATGGCATCGAAAAGGTCAAGTAATTAGATTGCTTTGAATTTTTTGACTTGTATCCATTAATTCGCTGTGCTTTTTGTTTAATACCTCATGTAACTGCTTCATTCTCCTGCCTTGGCATATTACGCTTTCCGACTTTTCTTTGGTATCGCCTTTATTCTATCATTCTAACTCAGTTTTGTTGTTTGATGCTGGACGAAATTACTGGTAGAAGCTTTTTTCTTGTGCAAATTGTTCCATTTATTTAGGACATCTGGTACATTCGTCATTGTATTAACTGGCTGCATGATCTTATTAGTATTATTCTTGTTGCCTAATGTGTCCTGGACAGTCGTTATTCTTTATCTTCTCATACTGAAGGGTTTGAGTATTGTTTTTTTCTTAGTTAGAATGACATTTCCAATTCCAATAAACGTAATATCTCGTGTTTCGTAGTGAATAGTGTTAATTTATGTAGTCTTGTCTGCTTTGATCTGGTTCATTCTGTTTGTTTAATTGAATTCTAGGATACAAAATATTAAGTAATAAAACTTTGACACGGTTTGTTTTGGTTGCACTGTTGTTTTTTATAACAAGCAGAAAAGAATTTTGATTAAAATTGGGAGCTTTAAAAACTGAATAGACTAAACAAATCAGTTTGATGGTTTTGATAAGTTTTTAACTGGAACGATTGCACAGTTAGTGTGAATAATTAATCTTATTGGTTCAAGTAAAGGATGACTAATTAATTTTTCTGTTTTCTGAAATGAGAGGAATATGGTTTGGAGGTATTAATTAGGTCCCTTTTAGGAGTCAAGAGATAATCACGATCCTCAGAAGGACGTAAGAGTTGAACCATCTGGTTCCGTATTCAAGAAGGGAGCAGTATTTGCGGATGATGGAGGATCTCTTGAATCAGTAGGAAAGAGTGAAGTTGAAGCAGTTAAAGTGGCAGTGGACCCGAATAAACTGCCAGAAGAAATACCTTACCTTTTGATAGGTTCTGGTACTGCTTCATATTATGCGGCATTGGCGATCAGAGCTCGAGATGCTAATGCTAAGGTTTTGATGATAGGTGACGAGAAACATCTTCCATACAATCGACCTGCTCTTTCCAAAGAATTGTGGTGGTTTGGAGATGATGAAGTTAGTTTTAATTTCTATATTGTACGTCTGTTTGATTATTCCAAGTAGTTATCTACGTAATACCTTAAAATTTAGGTAGCAAAAACATTGGAATATAGGGGTTATAGTGGTAAGAAACGAGATGTGTTTTATGAGGCTCCGGGATTTTTCTTAACTCCAAGTGAGCTTGATTCAGCTGAGCACGGTGGTATATCACTAGTCAGTGGTCACCGAGTGGTTAAGCTTGATTTAGAGAAGCAAACAGCGTATCTGGATGATGGACGTTCGCTTAAATATCAAAAATGTCTCATTGCAACAGGTTCCTTATATTTTGACGTACTTTACATTTTCTTAAATAGACATTGTTCATTAGAATACTTTTGATAAAAAAAAATAATGGAAAAAGTATTTTTGAGCTATTTGTTTTTAATTTTAAGACGTAGTGATTACATGACCTATTTACAAGTTTCCATTTTAAATTGTAACCTAAATTACTCTTCATTATTTCAGGAGGAAGACCTAAATCATTGCCAATAATTGATAAAGCAGAGGAAGAAGTCAAGAAGAGAGTAATGTTGTTTAGAACGGTTCGTATTGTATTATTCATGCTTATAGTCCAATTCAATTGCATTATATGTATCATTAAAACTTCGAATTTAGATTGATGATTTCCGTAAATTAGAAGAAATCGCTCGAAATAGTAAGTCCATAACAATTATTGGCGGTAGTTTATTGGGTTCGGAGTTGGCAAATTCGTTGAGTCTACGGTACGGAAAAAAGGGATTGCAAATTAATCAAGTATGGTGATGCAAATGGCTTAAGATTATTATTTGTTTGCTCACATAAGTTGTTTAGGAGACAGTTTTTCTTAATTGTACTTTTTACTCTTAATTCTTACTCTGCATTGCATTATTTTTATCTACACTTTTGTCAAGGTTTTGAAAAATACATAATAACGTACGCATTTACTTTTACTTCTAACTTTGTACTGTACTATGTTTTCTAAATAAGTTTACGAAGCATTATAATTGTATTATGTAAATTTTTTGTCAGAACTGTAGCGACATTTTGTTTGCTACGGCAATGTTTGTTTTCATATTTCAGATATTTCGAGAAAAAGGCAATGTTGCCGAAATTTTACCAGAGCATCTAAGTAAATACGCAACAAGTGAACTTCGTAAAACTGGTATTAGAGTTATGCCTGAAAAAGAAATCAAGCGCATTGGAGTTGGTGAAAATGGCAGTCTTCGTTTGCAGCTGGTAACAGGAGGTGAGTTTGCTAAAAGAGACGTTAACTGATCTTCTACTAGCATTTTAAGAAGATAAAAATGGATATTTTCATCTATAATTATCTTTGGGTTGTTAGAAAATAAAGTCTATCATGATTACGCCACTTTTGAAAAGCGTCCTTTTGAAATAATCACAATTGCAAGATTAGTCTTACAGAAATTATCAATACTGACTACATAATAACAGCAACAGGGATATCTCCAAATACTGATTTGGCAAACACATGTGGATTAGAAATTGACCCGGTATGTTCAGTATATTTTTGAAGGAGATATTGTGATGCTGACTTCAAGAAGAAGCAGCTGATTATTGAACTGATTTTACTGGTTTACTTATTGTATAATAGGTTAATGGTGGTTACGTCGTTGATGCAGAGCTACGTGCTCGATCAAATGTTTGGGTTGCGGGTGATGCAAGCAGTTTTTATGATGTTAAACTTGGTCGAAGACGTGTGGAGCATTCAGAACATGCACAAATAACTGGACGTCTTGCTGGTGAAAACATGACTGGAGGTAATTTGCAATTTTTTTTGATTTTAGCACCAGATAGAAAGGAATATAAGATAGGACATGTATTTTTTGTGCACTTCATAAGAATGTAAAATTAATATCTATAGCACATCGTTTTTCAGCGAGTAGGCCATATTGGCATCAGTCTTCATATTATTCAATTCTTGCGCCAAATATACATTTTGAAGCAGTTGGTAGAGTTGACTCAGATTTAAGAACAGTGTCAGTTTTGGCAGCAGATAAGAAAGGACAGGTGAAGTTGGTTAAAATTTTAATGTTCCTAATTTCTGTGAATTCTTACGCATTTTTGTATACAAGTTTTGGTTCACTACCTCTATTTCTGTCTTATTAATCTATTCTCATTATTCTTATACAAAATAAAATCTTTCTAAATATTACCCATGGCAACAAGTTCAAAGTTCTTTTGATTTTAGTATGAAAGTAGTAGAGGAGTTATCTTCTACCTGGAGGATAATGTAATCGTTGGTGTCTTATTGCTCAATGTACCTGGTCAAGGTATTGAAATTGCACGACGACTAATTGCAGATAGACGTGAGCATAAAGATCTTAAAGAAGTAAGTTATCTTCCAATACTGTAGTAAAGTGTCCTTCTTCTTTTCAGTCAAAATTTTATGATTTAAAAAGGTTTAAGAAGCATTCAGTAAATATATATTGTTGGTTTCCTGGTTATTGCTGTTTGATTCTTCTATCAGAAGTATTTTCACAGCGGTTTTCTAAAAAGTGTGTTTGAAATATTTTTAGACTGCAAAATTATTCGATTTACACAAACTTCAAGTGGATAAGGACGATAAGCTATTGCCTTAAATATGGTTTATTTGATCCAAACTTTTGATGGCTTTTCTGTCCTAGTTACAAGTTCTTTCATTTTAGAACTAAGTCTGTTATTTATGAACCACGTAATTAATTGGCAGCTACAACTCACAGGATAGTTTCTGCACTGTTTAGCTTTTGATAACTATTTGTGCAACTCATGTCTTGCAAAAATTCTCATCTCCATGCTTTTTGTAGATAACTAACTCATCTTTAAACAGCATCCACATATCTCCAAATGTAATTATTGAGGATTGCTCGGTATCCTAAATGTCGATTTTCTACAACGGTAGCCTTATTGAACTCAACTTACCGTTATACAGTATTGCTTTTAAGATCACTTACATCGAAAAATACAATGCCTTGCCAGTATTTGGTGATATAATGTTATTTTGATATATTGTTATATAATATATAAAGTTTTTTTGTAGTGTTTGATGACATTTCGTATCCTTCTTGTTCTGCAGTAAAGATATAATTCGGATTACTTCTGTGCAGTAATTTTTACTTTCTACAAATATATTAACTAATGTGCATATATGGAAGTGAGATATGCAGTGGAAGTCTTCTATAACAAAAAGTAATAAACTTAAGGACAAGTGTAGTATGAAAGTGAATATTAAAGTAATGATAGAGCAACGAATGCTTTTGCTTAAGATGCGTACAAAACTGAGGAAATGAATATTGGAGACTTGTGATTTTAATGTTAATGAATTTTTGAGGAGCAGGAACGGTTTTAGGATATAGAGATGAAAGATGTGTAGTGGAAGTCTTCTATAACAAAAAGAATATGAGCTAATAAAATATAAATAACAATAACAGAAGTGTCACATGCTGTCAAACAAACAGTACACATGAATAAAACTGAAATTAAGTTGGGGATTAATTCTTGATAAGATTTCAGGATAGACAGCAAGCCTTTGTGAGCCTGCCTTTTTCCCTTTATATCCTCCATTGTGCCTACAAATATCCCGCCAAATGTTTTCTTTATTTTTTCTCACAAAAATTTTCCATATGCTCTATATGTATGCGTCTATGTATTGGTGAGTATGCATGCATATCAATGCTATTTGAGACTATTTACAAGAACTATAATTAGTACCATTTACTTTCAACTAATTTATCACCATTTGAAAGTAAAAAGCAATGAAAAATGATGTCATTTTAAAATGTAATTGCGGTAGAATATTTATATAAAAAGTAGAAAATTACTATTTTCTGTAAATATTTAGGAGATAGAATTTGTGATTATAAATGGATGAGAGAGAGGGAGAGAGGGAGAGATATGTGTTCAGTAAATAGTAATAATATAAAGTAGTTTGATGACAAAAATGTTTTAGCTCTAATGGGAGGTGAACTAATCGTAGTAATACAAATGATTAATAAGTATTTGTGTGCATTTAGAAGTGAAAGTATTTTTTATTCTTCAATCAAGCATTAAATCAGAAGAGTAAATTGCATACAAGCAAATTGAATGAATGGTTCGCTTTTATTTCCTTTTTGTTATAAATTGAATGAGTGAATAAAAGAGTAGCAACAATGAATAGTGCTGAATGACTAAGTGATTGAATGAATGAATGAATAGAATGAATTAATGAGTGAATGGATGAATGAATGAATGAATGAATGAATGAATGAATGAATGAGTGAGTGAGTGCTAAAGCTATTGCAATGTTCACATTCGACCGAACAATTTTTTCTCATTTTTTGACTGCAATGAAAGGAAGATTGATGCATAGATAGGAGAAAGAATGGATTTAAAGAAGAAAGGATGTGTTCATTTGTCTATACGCCACGTTGGTGCACATCTCTGCTCACGTAAACATATAAGTGTAAATGTCTAAGTGTATGTATGAATGATATGTGCATTTATATGTGTGCTATATGTTAAAATGAGAAACAAAGGAGAACTTTAGCTGCTATTACAGCCATATTACTTGAAAAATTAGACAAGCAAGCAAAAGTGTAAGCTATTTAATATTTATTTACTAGCATTTCTCCCTTTCTTCTCTCTATCTCTTTTTTTTACGTACGTAAACTATTGACCTTTTTTTTTCACGTATGTTCAATTTATAACATCAAGAAAAAACACAATCTGAAGGAAGGATAAAAAATAAATAATGTTCAATTCCAAAAATCCTTCTTTCTCTCTCTCACACACTTATTCACTCTCTTCCTCACTCATTTTCTTTTTCTCTCTCTTTTTTTTTGTATTGCTATAATTGTTGTCGTATAATGTCGACAGCAATACAACAGTTGTGGTTTTCACTTCTTTTCATTTCTTCTTCGTTTTAATACAAATAATACTTGGCAAGTGAATATATATGTGTGCAAATGATTGTAAAGGACCAAAATGTATTATTATTGCATTGCAATAATTGTTTGAATAATTAAAGTAATTAATTACAGCTTTTGTTTTGTTATTATTTGTGTGGAAGGCATTATGCTTAAGACAAGCAATGAGAGCTAAACTACTGCAATTGTTTGACTGAGTGATTTATCACTGCTTTGACTTACTTTCTATTGCGTAGATAAATAAGCTTTACTCATTTCTTCCAAAGTTTCAATCTTCTCCTTTTTTGTATCGTTCTGCATAGCTTAGCACTATGATCACATTTCATATTATTTTAGCAATTATATTTGTTATAATAATAATAATAATAATAATAATAGTAATATAAATATAAATAGATAAATAACTGGACGTTATTGAGCACAACATTATTTTAAGAATTATTATTAAAGTAGCGCACATTCGATGCGGTTCTTGAAATTGTAATGGAATAATAATTTAATGTGATCTTTTTCATCACATGTGATAAGCTATATTATTATATTTGCTTTTGGTTGGAGAGTTAATTAATTCTATTACATTAAATCTATTTTCATTTCAAAAATTTTATAAAATCGAACTACCACAGTTAGAATAATTTTCATATGTAAGACTTTTGAAAATTATTCTATATTTTAAGCAGTTATAAGCACAGCTATCAAATGTTACTGAAATTGTACTCTAAGCGGAAAAAAGATGAGTAATTGATAAAGATTTGAAGGTGAAATAAAATTGTTTGTTGTGAAACTTTAAGCTGGTAGAAGGAGTCAATTAGCTAGTTACTTGGTTAGTTAGTTAGTTAGTAAATTAGTTTGTTAGTTATTGTGGTATATTTTTAAAAAGCTTACATAGATAGATGTAAGAGCAGTCTTATCATGTTAACTTAACAATATTTGGTAAAGAGTTACTTTGGACTGCTTATATTACATAATGGATGTGGATAAGATAATTTAAGACAAGCCACTTAGTTACATACTAATGAATAAGTTATGTAATCAAAAGTATGCTTGTGTTATGAGCAGAAGTTTTTTATGCTCTGCACATCAATTATTTGTTAATGTTTTTTGACTTAATTTACGTAGAATTAATAATCTATTTTTAGAAAATAGAAGTAGTCAAAATGAAAAATGCTCGTGTGAAAAATGATATATTATTCTTAGTATGGTCTCATCTTTTATTCTCATTAGATTTTTACTTGTTGAATGTAATCATGATTAGGTGGTGTTTATATACATGTTAACTAATCTTGATAAGATATAAAATAAGCTATGATACAATTATTTCCTTTATTATGTTTATTTCTATTCTATTATGAATTTTTGTATTTTTTCTTTTGCGTTCTAATTAATGCGTATCACTATAGCCTTTGTTATTTTCAATTAAGTTTTTGTTAATAATGTAAAACTTTATAAATTTTGTTGCTTTTAAATTCATTTATTAGCTATTTTGATTAAAGGCAAGTGTGTTAAGTTGTAGCTAATTTATTCAGAGCTTTCAAAATTTTGGCATATATTAAAAGTGAAATATGTAAAGTAGGCTGGAAAGTAATTTTCACTGAATTTTTTGTTGATGTTAATGTGACAGATTGGAGAGAGTTGATTACCTCACTTCCGTCAGGTTACTAATTACCATTCAACCATCACACATCTTTTGAATTGAAAAAGTAATGTGTCTTGAGTAGAGAACGCATAATTTACAATTTTTCATTCACTTTTTTTTCCTTGAAATTTATTACTTGCATATGCATAGTTGTGAACCAAGTATAAATAGTTTGTTAGCTGAAGTGTAGTGTAGATAGTTTTGTTGCTAAGATAGTTTGGTTTTATGAACTTATTTATTTGATGTAATTACGATTGAAGTATAAGTACATGATAATGGATAAAGATTAATTGTTCTAAATAAGTACTTAAGAGCAAAATGATGAGCAGTTTATTCCATGAACCAGCTGTGAAGAAACTTCTTGGTTGGAAACAAGGTGATGAAGAGGAAAAGTGGGCCGAAAAGGTAATACATTTTGTTTTTAATAGGTTTTCGAGTTTTTAAAGTTTAAATTCAACTCAACTTGATACTTTTGCATTTAATTATTTTGTTAATTGCTTCACCCATGTTTTTTTTATTTGCCCAGTATTTAGTCTTAGACCATTGTATCTTTGTGTTTTTTCATTTTGTATCATTAAAAAGTTCGTTTAACATTTTAAATTGATAAAAAAATATTTGAATACATTTTTAATTCATTATGCGTGTAACTATTCATGACATGTTACCGGTCTAAGTGAACAGATCATGTGATTTTTGACTTCAAAATTTTTTTTCGACTTCATTATTTCATTTGATTAAAACTTTGAGAGTTCTAAAAAAAGTGTGAAAATGCATTCAGTCTGTTTTGCAATTAAATAGAATAATAGGATGTAAATTGAGGCCAGCCGTCGAAATGATGCAATATACTAATGACAGATTATTTTTCGTTACCAGTTTTTTTTTAATTATCATCAAAGTAACGTTTAGTTATAAAGTATAGGTTGTTATAATAATTGTTTACATTAATAATAGTTATTTCTTGAATGCATTATTCAACATTGCAACAAATTGTCTTTTTACTTACTTCAGTTTTATTCCTTATTTCAAACTATTTTTTTCAAACATGATTTAATTGTAAATATCAGTATGATAATTTATTATTCAAAAATTTTTACGATTTAATGGTGCATTTTCATATCGTAAAACTCTTTAATCTTTAGTGTGATTTAGAAAGGAAGTAAGTTTGTTGCATTCAAAACTACCAATAAGACATTTGATAAAAAGTACAAAAGGGGTGGTAGAAGTAATGATAGTTTCAGAGGCGAAGATAAAATTTTAGTCGTGTTATGGAGTAAACTTTGCTTTTTGAAAACATCAAGAAAAATTGGAATTTTTTTTTTGCAGGCTGTGGATGCTCTTGTTAAAAAATTAAAAAAAAAAAAAAGTGGCTTGGGTACTATCGAAGATCTTGAATTTGCTCTCGCAAATCCTGGATCTCATAGTAAATGTGTTACAATACCACGATCACTTGATGGACGACTTCAAGTATATTCTTGCAAATTTCTAAATAAATATCACTACATAGTAAAGATGTTATGTGGATTTTACATTTGCAAACTTAAATAACTTCCGAAATATATCATTCCTTTTACGAATATTTTTTTGCTATCATAACTAACCATTATTTTCGTATTCTATGCTATCTATTTTTTTGATCCAAGACTTCGATATTAAAAAGATTTTGCATTTCAAGCTTTGGATATTTTATTACGTAGCTACAGCTGATGTAAAAATTTTAACTACTCATTTCTTCATAACAGAAGACTGCTTAGTTTCGTTTAATTTGTAAATTTAATTTGCCTATAAAAAATTCTTTTTTAGGTATCACATCGAAAAGGATTACCACATGTAATATACTGTAAAGTATGGAGATGGCGTGATTTACAGTCACACCATGAGCTGAAACCTGTACCTGAATGTTTATATCCATATGATAGCAAGCAGCAGTTAATATGTGTGAATCCTTATCATTACCAAAGGATTGATCCTCAAGTCCTCACTCGTCATATTTCTTTAGTGTCTCTAAAGACTTCTTAGCCTGGAATTATTTCACTTAGAATTGCTTCTGTAAAATATCTAAAGTTTTTTATTTTATATTCGGTGTTTATTTCGAAATTATTCCTAGGTTAGTAAACATATCATCGCATGGTTTTTTATTTTGAAACAACAACTAATTATTTGCAGATTATGCCAATAGCGATTCCGCAGTCATCATATCCATGCGGTTTCGTTCAGCGAGATACCATGATGTCCATGAACCCTGTGTGTCGAAACATGGTTAGCAGATTATTTGAAATTGTTCGGATTATTAATCTGTATTCATTTCTTATCTGTCACTTGATAGTTCACCGATTCTTTCGTATACTATCAGCTTTTTTTCATTCAGAAATATTTAATTTATAGTATGCATCGCACCAAAATATCGAAATGCCTACCTCCATTAGTGCCCCTATGGATTATTGTACTTACAGAGATTCATCCTCGTACTCGTCCGGCATGTCTTTTTATTTTTTATAAATCACTATTTTTATTACTTTGTGTGATAATAAGTTTCACAAATATGGGATTTTATTTTCCTGTAACCTCGTACTTTTGCAGCGAGTCCTTTATCAGTATTTAGTGAAGACTGTGAAACAGTGTCTCCGGAAGTAGATTCGGGTTACTCTTATCCAGAACCAAATTTCTGGTGCTCACTTGGATACTATGAATTAAATTCTCGCGTTGGTGAACTTTTTAAGGTACTCATTGATGAACTTTTTAAGATCTGGTTTCATTTTCTCTGTGGATTACATCTATTTTTCTTTGTTTTCAGCCATTTTTGATATATTAATCTTCTTAATTCAAGAGCAGTAATATAATTGAAATAGAAATTTATAATCTAAGTTTATGTCATATTTATTATATATATATGCAAATTTTTGCAAATTTTATTACTTCAGGTTAAAAATTTTGAAGTAGTTGTTGACGGATTCACCGATCCTTCAAACTCCAATGATCGAATCTGTCTCGGTCTGCTGACAAATGTTAATCGAAATGCTACCATAGAAAATACTCGGAAACATATTGGAAAAGGTGAAATGTTTTTTCTTCAAATTTTAAAGCATTTGAAATCTTTCCCAGGTAAAAAAAAGTCTTTGTCTTGGTTAAAAAATGGTCATTCAGTATTTTGAATAACTGAAGTTTTTTAAATAAATTTCAGCTCCTGGTCTGTACCTGTTTAGCCAGAAGGGTTATGCTAAATTATATTTGTTGTAAAGACTTTAGATAGTGAAAGATGTATTTAGGTGATTTTTTTTCCTGTTACAGGTGTGAAATTAACTTGTGAGGATGCAACACATAATGTGATTGTAACAAATCTCTCGGATTCTCCCGTTTTCGTGCAGTCTCGAAATAGCAATTATAAGCTGAACTATATGCCAAATGCTGTTTGTAGAATACCTCCTGGACACTTTATGTATATTTTTCACCACCAGTTGTTTGTGCAGGTTAGCTATCTATATTTTTCTTCCAAATTTTCGAAAAAAAGCATGTAAGGTGTAAGATATTTATACAAGGCATTCACTATTTTATCTTGCTTGTTTCATTTTTGCGAAGATTTTGAGTGAAAGTTAAATCAAAGAATATTATTGTTTCTCTTTCTTTTAATGCTGGATAGAGATGTCGAATCAAATCTTATCATTGTATCGTTTTGTATAGACTTTAAAATGTATTTTCTATTGTTTTAAAGTTCAGATGTTACGAAGGGCTGAACAAGAAGGTTACAACAATGTTTATGAACTGACAAAAATGTGCTTCATTCGAATATCTTTCGTAAAAGGATGGGGTGGTCCAGATTATCATCGTCAAGATGTCACTTCTACACCATGCTGGATAGAAATGCAATTACACGGTCCTCTTGCGGTGTGCTTTGCGTATTCATTTAATTTCTTTCCGTCATGTTAACATATGTTCTAATTTCTGTTTTCATATTTCGAACTGTTATTGATAAGAATAATCAAATGGTATTCATGATAGGAAATACATAAATCTCACAATTTCTTGATGTTACTGATGCTAAGAGGGAATTTTTCAGTGTATAGATCAAGTGATTGAAAGACTAGATCCGCCAGCAAATCCAATATCATCCGTGTCTTGATATCACTTCATCGTTTATTTTATTTTTGCCGATACATTTGTATTCATCACACTGAATTGTTGTTTGATGTGATTGTAATAAATGATATTTCTTTCACGTGTTCATGATTAATGGTCAAAGTAAGAACGAGTATTTGCGTTGAAACATGAATCCTTGTATTGGAAGGTGTGTCGTATCATTTTAATTATATGGAAATTGATGATTGACAAGAATATGAAGTGAAAGTCAGTGGCTGGAGCAAAGAATGAGGATTGACGCATTGCTACAGTAATATTCTATTTTGAAGGAGTTTAGTGAGTTGGTTAAGAAATAATCTACTTGATTTGATCATTCAGAAATGGGGCTGTGAATTGATGAAATTGATCAGCTAAGCAGTTAGGGGTCTGTTGCATTATTCATTTCCATCCTGGCGATGAAGCCGAGAAAGTTGCTCCTTCTCAATGCTGCTTCAGTAGTTACTATTTCATTTGCTACTGATCATTGGATTCAGGTTTCATTTCGTATTTCTCGTGTTCCTAGTTTCTGTACATTGCATCACCTTTTTGATTTCTATATCCTGCAGTGTTATGGTGATCGCCGTTTGGTTATTTCACAGTATTCTAATTTATTCCGGCAATGCAATGACCTCACCGGTAATTACAAAAATTTTGAACTTTCGATTTGTATTTTGAATAATAAGTAGCTCTTATCTACTTTGCATGTTAGTTAATTGACATATTAATTGCAGAGTATCAAGCTCACTCTTTTTGATCAAATTAATCGGTTAAATTGTTAGTATATCGTAGTTGAGATCAACAGCATTTGCTATTGTAAAAGCTTTGACCAGTGGCTTTATTGCAGAAGGATTCCTGCGTAATCTTTCATCTTGGGGTTTATTTTATGATACTGGCTGTATTATGTTTTTGAATCATCGTCGATGGCGATTTCATTCTTGTTCACTGCGCAGTGATGTTTTCGCTATGATCTCAGGCTTGGCTGCACTATTTTTACTTGTATGTAGTTTATACTCAAGTCGAGATAAAGACCGATCAAAACAAACTGCTTATTTGTTGATTACTTCAACTGTATCTTACACACTTGCTATTATGTCAACATTCCTCAATATACACCATATCAACGTGCATGAATCACAAGCGGCAATCGATATACTGGTTAGCGAAATTTGCAATTTTCATAATGTTTCACTGTTATAGCAATAATAAATGGATCGGTAATCTTACAAATAATTTAGATTAGTTCCCTCCTGTATTACTTATGGAAAATTACGAAAACACATTAGCTTATTCATCCATTTCATAATGTAGAGATAGTACAACTGAATCTCTTATTCATGGGATAAATAAGCTCATTCATTATGGAATGTTCTTATTTACAGTTTTCACTCACTAAGTAATCATGGAACTTCGTAATCCAAACTATGCTGTAACCTACAAAAAATTTAGGATGGAACTGGTGCAGACAACAAAAAGTGTACTTATATCAAAACAAGATTTTAGACATTGATTTGCTTCTCAAGGAACCAAACGAAAACGGTGTATGATGATGCATAGTGAGAAAAAGCATGAACATTAAGAATTGCGTACAAAGACTAATAATTTCCAAATAAATTATACAATTCAAAAATTTGCAAGAGTAATTCGTAGCTGATGCACTGCACTACAAAAAGTACAAGGATTTTATTAATCTCTTATAACTCTTCTTGCAGATGGATTCCTGGGTAAAAGCAGAACCTGGATGGAGCTTGTTAACAGCAGTGCTAGGTACTACTATTACAGCTATCTGCGCCTATCTTTACATAATATCTAGTAAACAGAATCAAAGTTCAATGCAAACAAAAATTCGTTGTCAACAGATCCCAAATGCAAATTTTTATTACCAAAAAGAGACTGTTACAATTCAATCTAAAATGACTGCTATTTAAATGTTAATAATTTGTACTTACACCGAAAATTGCCTCTGAATCAGTAAAGTCAATTTAGATATATTTAAATCACACATTATTTTGTCACTTTTTTTCATAAATTAAAAATATTGAGAAATAGCGATGGTTTGTTTCCTATAAAAATTCCCGCTATCTATTTTTTACATTTTTCTCATTCGTTTGCTTGTGTCGTCTTCTTTCATATCTTTCTGAAATTTAGCCTTCTTTGTCACTTGCAAATAATCAAAGGCATTGATCACTAAACAATGCTTTAGTCAAAATAAGACGTAAGTTTTAGATTCCCAAGTTTGAAAATCACATTTAAGGAACAGTTGAATTTTTTTCTTCCCAGTGCAATGTTTTGAAAAATAACACACTTGCTCCTGATATAATCCCGTAAGGCTTAAAAGAATGAAGTCATACCTTTCGTTTTTTGTCCTTTTTCTTCTTCTTTTCCTTCCTTTTATCTCTATCCTCACTTCGGTGCTTTCTATATTTTCGATCTGATTCCGCCTCTTTAATAAACAGTCTCTTTAACGTATAAGAATAAAAAATGAAAGTGATCAAAATGTAATATCTTACCATCAATATCATCTAAACTCCATTTGTATTTCCGTTTGTGCTTCATTTCTTCACTATTTTCATCGAAGCTAGCAGCATCATTGTTTTGGTCATCTCGCTTTTTATCGAAGTACCTTTTTGATTAATGGTAAAGGTAATATAAATATGGTAACTGCACAAAAAAGAACGTCTACTGACTGCCACTCAAATCTTCTGTTTCTCTTTGTGCTTATTGAAAATTTTCAAATACAGTGATGAAATTCACTGTAATTCTTACATATCACAGTTACTAACTGATACACAGACAAATTATGTAAGTACCTGTAAGGTTCTGGTACTGCTCCTGGTGTCAGTCTAAAGCCTGCCATAGCACTTGCAGGAAGGTTAGTGATTTCTTTTCCTGTTATTGGTGGCTTTTCGACCAACATTCGTAACGAGCTTTAACATAAACGTTACTACGGATATAAAAAAACAGTGTACTGGAAAACGAATCGACGTCTTTTCAGGCAAAACTGGATTAAAAAATCTCATGTTACTTTTATGTAACATCTTTCTGCTGTATAACGGAGCAACTTCCCTTCTCTTGTGATTTCCTAATTCTTTCCCTTTAAATAACTGAGTCGATACACAATTTTACGAAAAAATTCTCTTCACATTTAATATAACACCTGAATTCCAAAGCATTCTCAAAGTTGAAACTGCCAACGAGATGTGGTAGAAACGAAGCCAGATCTTCGCGTAGTCGTTTTGAACCACAAAAACGTTGATAGGAAGAACTCATGTCATATTCAGCCAATAGATCATTGCTACCAAGTAAAACACTTTGCTCTAAATTTTATTTATAAAACCACTTTTTAACGTACATTGAAATAACAAATTTTGAAAGACTACAGTTTCTATGATAATGTAATTTGCTTTTCAAATATGAACTTACTCGAATTGTGCACAGAAATGTTTTTGTTTCCAAAAAAGAAAATTCCTGCTGTTTTATATCACATACATAAAAAGTGTGCAAACATTTCAGAAACCTTTCATAAGTCATATTTACTCAAATGTTACGACATAAAGCGCATTAATATAAGGTTAAAAATGTACATTAATTTATAAGTTTTAGCAGCTGAAAATAACAACTTACGTGGTAATTCTGGCTTCATGAGATGAAAGGGACACACCAATGACAGTTGCGAATAACCACCCTTCAAAGATATTTTTGTACGAAGAGAACCTGAAGATGTTACGCCACTTCCTGTTGTATCCATTTCCGAACTAAATATATAATACTAACATTGCACTTCACAATAAAACATTTTAATGAGTATAAACAAGTATTCTTAATAATCTTTCAGATTATATGTAATACCTTATATTTAGTCTCCCTAAACTTTTCAATCAAAAATCTGTAGCAATAAAAATTTAATAAGCCAAACATATCACATAGTTATAAAAGATTACAAAGTTACTACTAATCAGTGCCAACGATAGAAAATTGATCTATGCAATTTTTACCAATTACTGTTTTCAAACGATCAATATAACCGATACGAATAATTTAAAGAGTTTCTGATAATTATAAACAGTTATAAGTTGACAGGAATCATAAAATACGATCATAAATTATAATATAAAACATTGAAAACTGATGCTTATTCTGTTTTTAATTCAGCCAAATTCGCAATTTGAATACAAGCCTAATGATATCTTGTAATAATTGTTTGCAATTTGACACCAATTTTCAATGAGAAATTTGAAAAAATTATTAAAGTTGCTGCTTTTTACATAAATTGGTAGCAGGAGGCAATCATGGAGACAGTAGAAAGCATTACTGCAAATAATATGACTAACATGCCATGGGTAGAAAAATATCGTCCGGCTAATCTCGAAGAACTTGTCTCCCGTGAAGAGATTATAAACGCACGTAGGTTGTTACTAGTAAAATTTAATTTAATCAGTTATTTGATTACGATTGTTTTAACGAAATTTAAAGTTGTGTCCTTCAAAAGGTATTATTTACAGTTAGAAGATTAATCAGCGAAAATCGACTACCTCATTTATTGTTTTATGGACCACCTGGGACTGGAAAAACGAGTGCTATTATTGCCGTAGCTAAAATGATGTTTACACCTAAACAAATGCCATCAATGATTTTGGAGGTGATAATAGTATTAGTTTGCCTTTTTAAGAAAAAAGCATCATTGTAACTTGTAAGGAGTAATAATTATTTATGTATTAGAAACAGTATTTACATGAGTGTCGTTTCTTCTCATTGCAGTTTGAATATTTTGTGTATTTGTAAGATGGGCTTGTTGTTAATTTTTGTATTGCAGCTTAATGCATCAGATGATAGAGGTATCAACATTGTTCGTGAGCAAATCATGAATTTTGCACAAACAGGAACTTTGAATATGAATCAAAGCAAAAACAATCCTCCAAAGTTGATAATTTTGGATGAGGCAGATGCTATGACAAAAGATGCACAAAATGCTTTGAGGTATTTTTTAAACTACATTAATTTGTGAAAACCTTTCACAACAATGCTGTTTTTCTTGTTTTTGCAGGCGAGTGATTGAAAAATTTACGGATAATGTTCGATTCTGTATTATATGCAATTATTTATCAAAAATTATTCCTGCCGTCCAATCTCGCTGTACTCGTCTTCGTTTCCCTCCTTTGTCAGATGTTAGCTTAATTTTGAATATAACAGTTTTTTTGCAGCATATATATTCTAGAAAAGTAAAATGTGGATGTGGGCAAAATTAGAAATGCAAAAGCTTCTGATAGTTTCTTTACAGATAATTTTTTTAGCAACAAATATTGCCTCGATTACGTCACATCGTGCAATCTGAATCATTAAAAGTAACGAAAAGTGGTGAAGTTGCTTTGCTGAAGTTAGCTGAAGGTGATTTGCGACGTGTCATCAACATTTTGCAGGTACTCATTTCAATGTAGTATAATTTATGAGATTTAGAATTGTCATGCAATCTGATTCATAAAAGAGCTATTATTAAATTCTACTACAATCATATTTATAATGATAATAGTATATAAAAAATTGAATAGCTGCCCTAATGAACAATAAGTTGGGTACAGTGTTTCAATTTCCTTCATTTCACCTGATTTTTCATCTTTTCTTTCACTGCCAATAATTGATTAGTATTAAAAGTTCGTTAAAAATGGTAACTATTTGTTTCTATGAATTAAAAGTGAACTTTGTATAATATTTTAATTTAAGAATAATTTTTTAATAATGATATTTATGTGGCGCAATTTTACAGAGTACCGCGATGGCATTCAAAATAGTTGATGAAAAAACTGTATATCAGTGCGTAGGTTATCCACTGCCGAGGGATGTTGAGAATATTGTAAGAATTTTATTGAACGACTCGATGGAGAATGCTTTTATTAGTAATACTTCATAGATTTTTTTTGATTTATATTATTTAGTAAATTACAATATACTTCCTGAGAAAGGCAAAGACTTTTAAAATTTGTTCATTTATGAAATGTTCTTACTTTATTATTTAATGAGGAATCTATTATTCATTGATCTGATATATCGTCTTGTTTTAGTGTATATATCATAATTAATACCGGCGACAAAAGAAATAATATTACACAAGGTTAAACACTTGATTTCTCTTTTTCAGAAATCGAACAAATTCGAAATGAACGCTTATTTGCGCTTAGTGATATTTTGAGCTCAATTCATGACTTTGTATTACGCCTTGATATACCATCGCAATTTTTGTGTCGATTAGTGGTTGCTATGGCAGATATTGAGTATCGTTTGTCGCAAGGTTGTTCTGATCGTTTACAGCTCGGAGCATTAATTGGTGCTTTTATCAATACTCGCAGCGACTTGGCAAAATTTTCTTCTAGTAGCTTTCAAAACAGAGCAGTCACATTCACAATCTGATATTAGTACTGATTTAAAAACTAAATATTGTATCAAACGTTAAGATTGGCGGTAAAAAATGTAAATTGAATTTTCGAGGTCTTTGTAACTGCTTGGTTGTTAAAGAATTTTTAGAAATAAATTATTTGATTTTGAATGATTGTACTTTTATCAGTATGAAAATCATAAAGAGTTTTTTTCTGTGTTTGTTAGCTTGTTGTTTCTGATTATCAAATGTTGCAGTCTCGTTGGTTCCTTAGAGTTACATTAATAAAATTTCATGGTGAGATTTTAGGCTGTCACCATTTTATGTTGTTTTGTTGTACAAAGTAAATTTATTTTGATGATGGTGATCAATAATTTTTTGAAAAGAGCATAATATTGCTTTAGTGATCACTTTTCTCCACTATTACCATGTTGGTTGATTCTTTTTATTCTTTAACTATAATCACTTGATATTTAAGAGGAATGCAGAATTCAGGCGTCGGTCCAAATCACTCAATGTATTACCAACAAACGCAGGGTATCTGTTTTTATGTTTGTATCAATATTTGCTACTGAGCGCACTTTTTATGACGGTATATTGGATTGTTTTTATTAGTTAACTGGTATTTTTGAACTACTGATAACATAAATTTCAAGGCAGTGGTATGATGATGGGCTATCCATTATCCGCTGCAGACCACCGTCAGCAGCAACAACAGCAGATGATGAGTATGCAAGGTGTGCAGCAGATGTATAGTGGAGCTGGTTCTGCTATGCAAGGTATGCCTGGGAGACCTTATCCTACAAGTACTTCTCAGGATTCTTCGCCTGGAATGCGGTCATCATCTCAACCCACGTATCCACAAGGAATGCATCAACAAACATCAGAGCAGCAACGACAACAACAGTTCCAAAATCGTTCTTATCAACAGCAGCAACATTCACAGATGCAACAGCAACAGTCACAGATGCAACAGCAACAGTCACAGATGCAACAGTCACAGATGCAACAGCAACAAATGCAACAGCAACAAATGCAACAACAACAGTCGCAGATGCAACAGTCACAGATGCAACAGCAACAAATGCAGCAGCAACAGCAACAATCTAGTCAACGGCATGCTTTAAAATGAGTTGATATATTGCAGCTTTGAAAAATTATGAATTGTGATATCAGAATTTATTAAGTACTCAATTGTAGATTGATTTATTTCATCAAAAGAACAAAATTTTCAGGATATTAGAGCCAGCAAGTGAACCACTAAAAAAAGAAGAGGCAAAAGTGGCTCGACCTATGAATCCTCCGCCATATTCTCCAGAGATTTTGAATAATCTCTCAAATTACTCGGTTGCTGCTTTGTCTTGCATTGGTCGTGAACTAGTTCAGGAATTACTTTTGAGGTAAACTTCACTTTATTTGCTTATAAGTTGCTAAGGAAGTGAAGATTAGTTTTTTGTTTTTAAAGGATTTGATTGAGTTAAAGAATCAGAAGTTGAATGTTGTTGGACAATATTTATAATTATGAATTTTTTCTGAGTTGTTTTTTGAGTTATATCAGATTATGACCACCAATATTTGGAAGTATTGTTAATGCATTATTTGCTTTAATTTGCATATTAGGTGAGTTGATTTGAATGCTTATGTTCTCGTTTCTTTATAGAACCTATACACTGATGACAAGTTTGACGAAATCTGTTGATCGTTGGCATCAGCAGCAGGGTGCCAGTGATCCTGAGCAGCTATTGTTGTATTGTGAATTTATTTTATCAAAAATCGTAGAAATAAGGCTGCGAATTGATTCTGTGCCAAGGATTTGCAAAATCAATGAAGATAAATTCATTGCAATGATGACGGATTTAAATCCAGTGGAAAAACCACCTGAGCTGGTATCTTTTATCAGTTCGTTTTCATAATTTACGAAGCTGTTGCCATCTTATCTGGCCTTTCATTTCGTGCGCATACTTTTAGAATCCCTAAATAGTTCAACTATAGTTACTGTAGTTTATCGCAATGTATCATAGTAATGTTACCGAAATTAATTAATTTCTTGTTTTTTTTTCTAATGTAATTGTTTTAGTGTTTTAAAAAATGCATTTTTTATTAATTGTTAAGTCATTGCATGTTTTGTAGATATCGAAGGAAGAAGCGTTTGAAACTAGACGACAAAAACTTGTGAAACTAAATTCATCGTTAAAAAATTTAGATTGGATGTGCTTAGCGACTGACCCCCGTTTTTTTAAAAAAGTTGATAAGAGTTAGTGATTACTAGTGATGCCCATTGTTTATTTCGACCCAATAATCAATCATTTTTGTAGCTTGATAAAAATACAGTTATAGCAAGAATAAAAACATAATAATTACATTTATGCAACGATAATGAGATCATTATGTAGTCACTCGTTTCGAACATCAAAGATTGGAGCACATGAACGGAGAGGAACCTTCCATCTGTTATCATGAATATTATTTCTTTTCTTAACCATTATTTCTATTTGTATTGTGTAACAGAAATTTAAATACAGTTGACTATAAACACTTTCCTTCATGAACTGAGTAATCCAAGCAGCAATAATTTTGACATGGTTTTAGCACCAATTTTTCCCTGGAAAGTTGAGTAGTATTTACAGAAAACAATTTCAGTAAGCAATTCGTAATATAATATAATTATTAAAAAAGTGATGTAATTGTTGCGATGGAAGTTGCATCAATTTCGTAAATTTAGGTTTGTATATAGCTGTTGTAATTTTTTTATCATTCGGATTTGGAATCATAATTCGGTATTAATGACTTGTTACAATATCATTGTTCATCTTGCAATTACTTGCATCTTAAAACTGTCTACCATAGAGAATAAAATTTTACAAAGTTTCTGTCAGTATTTATGGTCGTCTGTACCGGTTAAAAATGATCATTTCATTATTTTGAAAAGTTATAATGTAGTATTTAGTATTTCGGGGAAAAAAAATATATGCCTTTTGCATTCCATGCCATCGAAAAGGGCTAGTAGCCCTCCGCAACGCGTCTGCTCAAATGTTTTCCTTGTACAGAATCCTTTGCATGGAATTCGTGCACAGACCTCACTCTCCGACCGTTCACCACTGTAATACAATTACAAAAGTAATATATACCATAAGTAGACTGCTGAAGCAAGTTAAGCGTAAAGCATTAAAAGTTTTGCGTGCCTTATAAACTACAAATTAGTTTCAGGTAGGTTTATAGTTGTTTGTTCAAAAGCTGTCGATACCATGACTTCTCGTATTCGATTGTTGCTGACGTATATCATGAAGTAGCCAGCAAGTTTGGTCTACCGAAATAAGTCCGAAAATTTGTCTGTTAGCATTGAGATTTTGTAAGCATCGGGTATTAGAAGTTTTTAATTATAATATGCAGTCAAATTGAAATTGGCTACAGTTAGTCTAAAATTATGAGCTATTATTTAAAGTTCAAAAAAGAAAAGAGATGAAGATACAAGGCAGCTGTTTGTGCAGGGAAAAGGACTTCTAAACTAACATGCAGGCACCACCGACACAAATACGTCGACGATGCCTGACACCGCAAGCGCCACACGATGCACTGCACTCAGACCACTGGGACCACCCCAAGAACGAACCGCTTGCTGGAAGTGCGCGTACCTGCGCCTGGAAACCTCTTCCACTTCGATAGAACGATCGAAAAAGTACCAACATGTCTTCAGTCGCGGACATAATTGACGATTGTGGTGTTCCATAACAGCAGTATCTGAATGAATTCTTTGTAGATTAGTGCGAAATTTTAAGGTAAAATGAGAAAATTTATTTTCATGATACTGCTTTTTATAATGTAGTTTTGTAAACAATGATTGAGCATAGTTTTTTGTAAGTATCTGACCTCATTCCTGTGTTGGCGAAATCGGTAGAATTTCGTATCTCGATATAGTCCATACAAAGTGAGTGACGTACTTTGCAGTACATTTCAAATTCACCATAAAAACGTAATTGTACTCGTTGACCTGGTGGAGCGACCAGAAGCCAGCTGCATTCTTGTCCCTCTTTAAATTCTCTCGGATAATTAGGACTTGTGATGCGTTTCCAGCTGGATGTTAACTCTAAACGACCGCCACAATCTGCTCCATATCCAGGCATTATCTGGTCACAAAGCTACAAAATAATAGTTATCAAGTATTAATCTTTATTATTTGTTTCATCATACTGTAAGTATTGTATAACGTCTGTTAAAAAATGTTCCCATTATTCTTTAAATTTTTCGAAATTTTCGGAAAAAAAAATAGCATATTTTTGACATTGTTGTCTCAAAAGATTTTTTTACATACATTTTTTGGCTAATAGTTTCTGATATTGTATATTTTTCAATGAAAAATATTTATTTACCTTTCCAGTAAACCCGTCAGGGCACCTGCATCGTTCACATCGTCTTGGATCTGTATAACCCCCTCGTTGACAAGGCAATTTATATGGGCATGAGTTGCTACAATAAATGATATTCATGAGACGAATATCGTTGAAAGATAATTGGTCGCGTTGCCCAATAGTTTTCTGATAATCAGCAATGTTTGTATTCAGGGTGAATAGATCTTCATAGCGGCTAAATGCTTTACTCCTGTAATTTTCATTTTATGTTATCATAATCATATGCTGTTTCGATTCCATGATTTTATCAGCTTTATTGATTTTGGAATGCATGAAAAGCGTGTTTCGGGATAGTCAATAAGTGGTGAGAAATAGTTGAAATGTTTGAGATGAAGTGTAGTGAACGGTTATTGGAATATGAATATTTATTATTCCAAATATATTTACCTGTAATGCATAATACTTCCATAATCGTAAGGGACACCACCGTCATCTACATCTGTCGGTAGTTCTTTCAAAAACTGACCCTTACTTTCACGATCAATGTTCTCCCAGCGAACGGTTACGTAGTTGTCACGGTCAGGACGAGATTGCTCATGCCAAAATCCCAATGCATGGGCTACTTCATGAGCTATCACTCCCAGCTGCAATCTATTTATTACTTTTTTTGGAAATTACTGAGGACTAAATTAGTTGACGAGTTTTTTTAACTTTTATGTTATCATTGAGGTAATGCTTGCGTCATACTCTTTCAAAACCAATTAAAATCTAGTGATAAAAAAAATGGTTTCTAATAAAATTGAATTTTATTAATAATGCATAAGCAGTTCTTTTTCTCTGTCGTGTAATTTAATTCATGACTTTCGATTTTATCTTACTGCATTTTAGATCGTAAACGATTTGTATCTAGTTGTATCATTTCCGATGAGTTGTACATTCATGTTGGGCATAAAAAATTAATAGTTACACACTGAAAGTAAACATGACAAGGTTATAACGTACTCTGATGCATTCCGGTGCCAAAGATACAAATTGCGGTTCGCCTAATGGATGACGACCAACATTGGATGCACAACCATCAACATCCGTGAAAACAATTCGGCTTCCTTGTATATCATTATCTTTACGTTCGAAATTTAGGCATGTTATGTTATGCCAATGTTCTAGTGCTAATTCAATGACTTGCTGTTCATGGTTAGCTGAAATTTTGCATTAAAGGAATCTTTTCCATAATGTCATTTTTGGTTCGTATTAGGAGAGGATCTACCTATGGCTATTTTTGATTTGTTGAATCGGTATTTAAGTGTTTACAGAAAGCAATCTTCTTGATTTGCAGACAATATAAATTAAGTTGTGAACAACCATGATGAGTATAGTTGATGTAATTAATCATGCTCTTTAACCTGCTGTACCATTTGTTATAAAAATATTATTTTTAGGACTACCAACAAGTTAAATTTTTGACAACTTTTAATGCTAGTAGTGAGAATTTAATCGCTGCAAGTGCCTCGTACTATCATTACTTTTCATCAAAATATGTTTATTCAATAAGTTCCATGATAGTAGCATTTTTTTGTTAGATAAAATTACTGATAAGAACGTAGAAAATTTGATTACTAAGTTTGATGATATTTCTCCAAAAAATTTTCATTAGCATTTAAGGATCAAAAGAAATTTAAAAAATGATACATCATTACCGCTAGAGTTATTGAAAAATTGGATTTACTGCCAAAATAGTACCAAGAAATAAGTGCAATTCAAAGGTCAAAAGTGCAAGGTCAATTTGCTATGAAAATTTGTCTACTCATGATAATTTTCCGTATAAAACTGGATACCAAAAAAATTTTCAGATGTAATTGAATATGCTAAAACACGAAGTCCATTGAAAAAGATGCATTATCCAAACTCTATCAAGTACCATCTCGTAAGAAAGCATTTCTTTTGTGTTTTCTGTTATTACACAAACTTTTCTTATTTTATATCTTTGATATCACAACTTAATATTTCCTTTCTGAATTGTATGTAAGAGAAGAACGAAAGGGTTGTATGTAGATCAGAACATTTACTATTTCTGGCATTACGGGAACATGTTATTCCTGTGATTCGTGTCATTTAATCAATCTGATACTGATAGATCACACTTAATCTAATACTAATCTTTTGTTGGTTTTCAAAAAATTTTGCACTTAATGACGAATTTGCTTAAAAAAGTTCAGAGAAAATCGCTGACCTTAAATACACTTGAGAAAAATCAGTTAACCAAAAAAATAAAAGAATATCAATTATTTTGACCAACAAAATGACAGAATATTGTTTTATTCAGGAAATATGGTCAGAAACAGTTTCTCACTTCTACTTACTGTGTGATCCATCAAATGTATATATTATTGGCTTGCTTGTATCCCATCGGCGTAATTCAGAACGAATAAATTTGCGCTTTGTACGTCTTCCGTGTTGTAACATGCTGTCATATATCTCACGTGCTTGCATAACGTCCAGAACAATATCACCTGCAGTTATCAAAATATTCGCGCATTTCAAAGGTTCTCTATTCCAGCATGATGATTTTATTTTTTCTTGTTGTAACTAACTGTATTACTCTCAATGTATTGATAACCTTAATATTTTTTGAGAAATATAGCATGGATTTTTTGCTGTTTGAAAATATTCTTTCTATTTTGGCATTAATTACTAAATGAACGAATAAAAAAAGTAAACGTAAGAATAATATACAAATATTCGATTTTATACGAGGAAAATGCTTGTAAAGATGAACTGCAGCACTTGGTTTTTTTATCTTATTAAAATTTTGTATGAAATAAAAAATTTCCTTTGGGTTCGAAAATAATAACTCATTCCTGAAATTATATGAAAATATAATTTTTGCTGATATCCCATTTTTTGCTTATTTCATGATTATTTCTCTAAGCTTGTATAACTAACTAACTTATATCAATTCATATGTTCTTATAATTAAATAATTACAACGGTAAAACTTCGTATCACGTATGTTCCATAACTCATGACAACATTTTCTGTTCTCTTCTGTCAATGAGATAGAAACTAATTTTATTCCTTCTTGTCACAACTGACCTAATTGTATTCATTGTTGTTATACAAAAATTGGGTTTAAACAAAAAGTGAATGAGAAAGTGAATTGACAGAAAGATCATTTCACTCTTTCAGGTCATATTTTTGAACTTCATTTTCTTCAACTAGAATTATGATTATGATTATGATTAAAAAGCAATAATATTAAATAGCTCAAAATTACTATTAGTACTGTAGGAGTATATTTTTGAATTTAATATTAAATCAACACTGTAATATACTTTATTGATTATGATAATATTCTTTTAGAAAAAACTTTCTATTATTTTGATCATTTTCGACACACAACTAATTAAATATTATTTTGTGATCAAATATTTTTATGCCTTATCTTTGTGTGAATCACAAGATAAAAGCTGATTCAACTGTAAAAATCTCAGCAGTTCAGAAGAAAATTTTGACTCATCCTAACATTACTTCAGTTTTTGTACACAAATACATCCAATAAAGTTCTGTCACTAAAAAGTGCCGTGTGTAGCGCTGAAGAGCGCTGCTTTCATTCTAAAAAATCATTCCATAATTGATAAAAAATTGAAGAAGAACTTCGAACCTTCATAATATCGGCCATTTTCTTCAGGATTAAGCACTACAGCATCATTTTGTCTTCCGAAATTTTCTAATTCTCTAGCAACCTGAAATCGCTTCATTAGTACTTCAATTTTTTTCAGTATTTTGTAGTGCTTTTCTCGCCATCTTTACCTTTTTGGTATATACATATGGAAACGTTAAACATTCGCTTTTTGAGCTTTCTTTTTAGCTCTATTTTACATACTTCTTTATTCCATCTAATGCTTGTTCATAGTGTGAAAAAATCCTATGTTGTTTCAAATTTAGTAAAATTGTTTCTTCTGAGTTTCTATAATGTGCTATAGTTTTCATTTTTTCAGGGCTTAGAGGTTATGATATCTGCTTGCACTCTGATCAGCTTTATTATCCATAAAACTGATCAGTCAATATCGGCGACGTATTCATTAATTAATTTAAAAAGTAGTTGAAGTGGGGGCAATTTGCTGGTAGTTGATAAAAAAGTACTGCCTGAGTGTCACATATTGTCTTCCACTGAAAAATCTCTCAATTTTTATCATTTTAATATAGTTTCTTATCTTTATTTTTTTAATGTAAATATTATTCTAAGTACTAATCTGTTCATAAGAGTGCTATGCACGTAAATAGTCTATATCAAAAGATGTTCAATCTTAAGCAAATTATAGTCCGCTTTTTAAGATTAAAGTTTCTTAATTTGTAGTAATAAGAACGCAAAAAATGAAAGAAAAATATAACAGGATTGTAAATGAATAGATTTAAGTAATAAAAAACAGATTAATAATGATTGAAAGAGACAGCGATACAAAATGACGGAAATTTCAACGGTGTGACAGACATTTTATTAAAGTAGCCATAAGCTAAAATTTCAGTAAAGGTGTATCCTATCGCAAATCACAGTAGATTTATTTTTATTAGTAGAGGTCAATATTGACTAATTTTATCAGTAAACTTGATCAGTGAGAACTTTTAGAAATCTGTTTTTATTGTTCAGTTTGATTCTGAATATAGATATTCAATTTCCGATTAAATATATTATATGTTTATATATGTACTAATATGTTCAGGAAGCTATTATCTACATAATTCTGTATATGAAAAGATGCTTAATTTTAAACAAATATGCATTATATATATATATATACATACTTAATTTAAATTGACATATTTATATGCCTTCTGTAAATGAATGAAAAAATAACACATGCATAAAAATTGACTGCGAGGAGTTGTCACTTATTATGCCCACAAATCAGTATTAGTAAAATTTTTAAAAGCAGTGCAAATTGTTGTCACAAAATATTATAACTGATAGCTAAAATACGGAACTTTTTCCAAAAATTAATTCATTTATAGATTATTAATACATCAGAAAATACTTAGCTAATCACAGTGGTTAATTTTTGATCAGTCTAATATTATATTTTTGAATGATAAACTTAAAACTGCTTTCATTATTTTTCTTGCACTTTAATAAACACACTATATATTTTCAAGTGAAAGTAAACTTTAGTGCTAAACCTAAAAAAGTTCTGTAAATGAATTTTAATTTGAGAAATTAATTAATTTTGTGATTTACACAGTTTTGTTAATAATATAAAAATAGAAGTAATGGTTTGATAACAACCGAATTCCTTCAATATTTATATTTTTAGCAATTTTTGTAGCACTCCTAGAGAGTTAATATTGGTATTACTGTGTACTGATTTAAGTGCGAGGAAATACTTTTATACTTTTTAATAAAATTGAGTAGAATTAAAACAAAAATGTTGCTGTTTTCTGTTCCAATTCAAAATATTTTAAAGAAAAATTGTTCTTCTATTGTTCTGTCAGCAATAATCTCATTGCATTCTCAACAAAATACAAAATTATAAACTATTGTAAACGCATTTTAATGCACAAACATCAATTCTTTCAGTATCATAAAATGAATGAAAAGTGAAAAGTTTCACTTTATTTATCGGTTGTTAACTTTAGCAAAGTTTTTGCACATTTCAATAAATTACCTAATACTTATTTATATAGATCCATTGATAACTTTTTTAATTGTGTCCTCTCAACTTGACCTCTTTTTCATCGTTCTACCATCAGTTATTTCTAGTTTTTACTTATTGTTTATTTAATACTTCCCGTGTAGATAAATAATAAAGCACGTTAAACACTTTCTTTTTTAATCAGTGCTTTCACTGCAAAATGTTTTGAGACAAAAATTTGAAAATTATTGTGGCCTTAATTATTTTAAAACTCTGTAATTTAATATCCACATGATAATTATTTGTTGTAGACGCAACAAGTTTTCATAATATGCTACTAAATTAGAAATCATATGTAGATGATTTGACAAAGCCTAACATTTTCAAATCAAATATTCAGTATCACTTATTTACGTTTGCAAACTTTTTAACCAGCTTATGATAGGTGAATTCTCTAAAAGCAGTGATTAAAGTGCAACAGAAATTTATTTTTGAAGTCCAAAAAAATAGTCTAGGCAAATATTAAAATTTTTTTGCCGTGACAAAGTAATATGTAATGATGACAAAATTTTAATTTTGGCTGAAAACTTTTGATAGTGTTTACTTTTGTCAAATTTTTATTGTATGTTAGATTTTTCTTGTAGTAAATAAATTTTGAAAATTATTAGCAATCATAATTGGTCAAATTAGCTTCTCTATAAATGTTATAAATATCCATAAGCAAGATACCAACATTATAAAAGCTTCACAATGCTTACTGATCTGAAAGAGTCTGCTTTATATTTTTGATCCGTTTCTTCTGGATGCTGTTCAATCTCAAATTTTTGAATTTTTTTCAAGTACTGATTAACAAGCTGAATTTCCTCATTGCTTTGTCCAAATGTTTTTGCTTTTTCTCGAAGAATTTCTGAATATTTTCTGCGGTAAGCATTTTCGAGAGTTCCATCAAAGTCAGATCTCAGCGGATTTGGAGTATTTGTAGGCTCTGCTAGAAAAAATGCTGCACTGATATGAACTGAGCGTAGTTCAAGAAGAATCAGTAATAAAGATAGCAGTGATGTTTTCTTCATCAAAGTCCTGTTTTCAGTGCAGATTGCAGTAGCAGTAACAGTTAATAAATTTACCAAAATGATGCTGATAGGATCTTTGGATGTTGCCATGTATAACAGACATGGACCAGAAAAACAAATGAGCTGTTGAAATAGACAAAAAATATCTATTTCAACTCAGCAAATGCTCCAAATCACAAACCTTCGGTTGACCTTTCAACCTAACCTATCATAATCTTTCATTATTATTTCGAGTATCACTTTTTGAATCAAATCGTAAACGTATTGATAACCACAACTATAAAAGCGACTTTAAACTGTGATTATAGCAAAAATGGACTAATGTCAAATGCTGATGTACTTTAATTGAAATTAACAGATTTCTTCGATATAATACTAATTTTGACTAATATTAGTGATAAAATAAAATTAATAACATTATCTTTATTATTTATTATCATTATTATTATGCATTATGACAATAATAATAATAATTATAATTATAATTATTATTATTATCATTA